CATGAGGAGCGATGTGAGGAGAATGCAGCAGTTCACAGTGTGGATGATCTGCTTCACAGGCCAACGCTTCCTGCAGGAGCATGGTGGAACAGACAGCAACTGCTTGCTGTGGAGAGCCTGTGGGCATTCACGCTCCAGGCTACTCTGCCATGCCTGGAAGAGCAGCTCTGGGACCAGGTTCCTGATCTTCCACATGCATCTGCAGCGGTATGTTACTGCATTACACAGCTCCTGCAGGGAATATGATGAAGCTCCCAACAAGACACGAGCACACAAAGTGCCAAATGTTCACAGTTCTAATATTCTAGAGTGTTCCTGCTGTGTCCTCTGTATGACAGCGTGTCCGCTGGCCTCTGACAGGTGGAGTTTCTCTGTCAGACACAGGAGCCTGTGTGCTGTGATGCTCCTGTGCAACTTGGAGACAACAGGGAGAACATAGTGATGTTGCAAGTTCTCAGTAGGCAGTGTGGAGAAGATGGGGTGGGAATTATCCACCTCAGGGGTTCATATCATTTCAATCATTGTTATATTTTATTGTGATGCATTGCACATTATAGATATATATATATATATGTCACTATGATACAGTACATAACAAAAAGCCATTTGACGTTAACATCTTCTTTGTCTTGTTTTTCGTTTGATAGTCGCCACTGTCAGAAATATTTTCTTTTCCCGAGATCTGATGTGTTTTCTTAGTGTTGCTTTCATTTTTTGAGCAGTATATTTCTGTATCCATGTCTTGACCCACTCCTAAATACATCTCAAAGGATGTTGTACTAGATAGGATGTAAAAGAAGGCCACCGTGTATGAATGTATGAACCCCAAACATGTTTCATTGTGTCAGGAGCATAGAAGTTATCAGAAAAGACTAACAAGCTTGGTAATTAGGCTGCATCCATAAACTGCATTGTATTGTACTGATGTGTGTCTGTATAGATATAATTTATAAATATATGTGGTAATTGGTTTAAACGAACAGGAGGGGAAGAGAGAGAGAGAGAGAGCCAGGAAGCGAGCAGCCTTCATTGCCAACCCGGAAACGGGCAAAGTGATTGGTTGAAGTGTTCCATAGGGGAAGTGATTGGTGTCCTCCAGGTCACTTTGAAGGATGCTGAGGAGGTGATCAAGGCAGCTTGCTCAGCATCTGTTCCAGGCATATGTTAGGTCTACAAATGTTGCCCAGAGCTTCTTCAGCATGTATGGAAGACCTTAAAGATGACTTGATGGGAAGGTCAGCAACCAGTGGAGGAGGTTTAGATTCCCAAAGAGAGGAACTCATCCAGTTTGGGCAATATTGCTGTTGAGTGTTGGAAGGAGGATGTTTTTAAGCACTGTATTATGAAAACTGAATTTTTCCAAGAACAACTATATCAACCCCTTTATTGAGAAGGGTGGGATTCCTGGTTGTGTATGAAGTTGATTAGGGGGTGGTTCTCGTACACCAAGAGTCAGATTAAAATGCTAAATCTATTCAAATGTTCAAAAAGGTCCAATCAGTGAAGTTAAAGGATGGATGATAGCTTATATTAAAGCTGCTGTGCCCCTTCCTTCCAAAGTATAGTAACACTTGTTACCAGGGGGAAACCACACCCCTGACTTTGAGAAACACCAGGCACTAAACATCCTTAGTTCAGCTGTAAAGTTGGACATCAGAAGATGGAGGACCTGCAGAGCTGCTCTCCAGGGTGGCCGTTAGAGCAAGCGTGTTTGTTTGGCACTTCTGTCTCATTTTTGAGCCCTTGAGGTTGAACCAACACTTAGTTAAACACTGACACTATAGAATAAAGTCTTTTTTTTTTCCTTTTTGAAGGGGATATAGGGAAATGTAACTTCTTTTGTAGATCATGATTAAACTAATTGTAATTTTTTTTTCTATAATGTTAGAGCTGCTGGCCTATTTCCATTGGTGAGGAACATTTACATGACACACACACACCTGTGTATTCATGTAATCATCTAAAGATCAACTGTCCACAGCACGCTCCGCATGACTGGCTGAAGTTCCACACACCCGTTGTCAGACCCTTATTCCTGTTTTCTCCTTGTTTTTAGAGACCTGCGGGACTTTGGGTGGAGGAACAGGGGTGGTGCGACCTCAGCAGTGAGGTTTCTACCTTCCCTGAACCGTCTCATCTTTCTCTGAGACCGTCACAGATCCCAGATCCTGTCGGGCTCAGCTCCTCCCCGGAGGACCCCACAGCACACACCAGCGCGGTGCCAGAGCCACCTGTCAGAGGCCCGTGCTCCCACAGCATGGAGAGCTCCACTCACTCTCCTCAAACCCTCAGCAAAACACGGCGGCCGTCCCTGCACAGCTGGGTGGAGGCGCTGCCATCACCAGGATTTTCCAGTGCTGGGAAGGAGGAGGGGAGGAAAGCGACTGGACCAGTCAGTAGGAAGCTTCCAACATACTGGGTGAAGGTATCTGACAGAGTTCCTCTGCAGAATGAGGTCGAAGCTAAAAAGGAAGAGGAGGTGCAAGGGTGCGGCAAAAAAGATGGAGGAAGAGGAGCAGATGGAGGAGCAGGAGGAGGACTGCAGAGTTGTCCCATGTGTCTCCAAGTGTTCCCTGCTGGGTAAGAACTGATCGGGTGCTTTTCTTTCTTCATTCACATCAGCATAGGGACTTTTTTCCTTTGTGCGTTGTTGCTGATTTTTATTAATTTATTTTTTAATGATTCTTTATGACATCAGATGGCATCCAGCTGAAGCTGGTCACCAGTTAGATGTTTTCAGTGTGTGTAGCTCTTGTTAGTTAAATGGATAACGACAAGTAAACAAACTAGTTTAAGTTTTAGAGTCGGGGTGTCAAACTCAAATACACAATGGGCCAAAATTCAAAACTGGACCAAAGTCGCGGGCTAACGTTAATATTTATTGAAATATATTTATTCCTCCAGATATAAGAATGAATCTTTTCTTATGGACTCAAACACGTTTTGCTGGAAAACTGAATATGGAACAAGCAAAGCTTAATACTAAACAATATATATATTAGCTGTATAATACCAGTAGGCCAGCTCTAATAGTAATTTGGTATGGCTTCGCGGGCCAAATGTAATTAGTCTGCGGGCCAAATTTGGCCCGCGGGCCAGAGTTTGACACCTATGTTCTAGAGGTTTAAAAGTGACAGCATCACAAAGCTGACTGTCCAGCCTCCAAAGGATCAACATTACCTTACAGCAGAACTTCCATATCGTTAGCTTCATAGCATAAGTGCCTAAGTCATTTTTTTGTGTTTTGTGTTTCAGACGGACAGGATGATGCAGCAGTGGTAGGGGAGTAAAGTTAGGCAAAAATCTCAATTTGACCAAAAAATGACTTAGGCACTTATGCTATGAAGCTAACGATATATGTTTTTATTGTGCAGGTCTTGCATAGCATCATCCCGTGACCTCTGCTTTCATGTCAGAATCAACATGACATAATTACATAAATATAAAAATGTTTATATGCTGTCTGAGGTGCAGTGCAGTTTCAGCACAAGGTCCAAACAAACAGTTGTCCAGATTCTGCTGCATAAGTGGTGCCCACAGATGGAGAGGTCCAGTTCACCACATCCAGTACAGTCTAGTTGTTCTTGGTTCTCCAGGTTCACCCAGATGGACTGCGATGGTCACCTGGCCCAGTGTCTGTCTGAAATGAATGTGGACATGACCTGGTAAGCTGAATCGATGCCGACGGTCTACAAGGCGCCCGGTTGCTGCTCCGGGGTCGTATCACACGGAGGACGACGGTGCAGACAGCAGCCTGTGCAGAGAACTCTGCTGACTGAGCTGCAGTGAGATGAGGAAACTTCTTCGGTGCATGAGCACACCATGTTTTCATGGCTGATTAGTCGTACTGAGTGTACACTTTACTTTAAAACTCAGTAACAGACACTGTAACCTGTGTGTCTTTTTTTTCTTGTAAAAGTAACTGTAATCTTTATTAGCTTTGAGTTCAAGATGATCCGGTCGGCTTCATTCATGACGGCATTGCAGTGCACGTACACCCACACAAGTAGAGCTGTGCTCGCAAGGTCACCCACCCTGGTATACTCTGCAGCTATCTAATGCAGTGCTACAATGTCACGTTCTTCATTTCTCTGCATTGATGGTGTGACTGCAGTGTAACACATGAGCCTGACTATTCTCATTCAGTCCTGATTCTTGCAGGTGCAAGCGGTGCTTTTACTGGACAAATGTACATGATGTATGATCCTTACTGCTCTTTTTGCATTGTGCATATGTTTTGTGGGGAACATCCAGAGTTCACCACAATAATATAAATATGGCAGTAACAGTGTGTGCAGTCTTTCATTGGTTAGGATGAGCCTTGGTTTTCCCAAAATCCCGACGGTGTTTGCCATCTCGTTACACACCTGTTTGTTATGTGGTTCCCATATAGGAAAGACCTTTTCAGTGGATACCTTATCAACATCTAGTTCCACATTTATATACATTTCTCAATTTAATTTACAAACAACATAAATTTGGTTTGGGGTAAATTCAAAGAGAACTTCTTTTTGATCACACCAACATTTATCAGTTTCTTCACTGACAACCTCCAGGAACGGCTGTATCATGTGCAACACAACAAACCTCAGTATGTCTGTCACTCTACACATGTCAGTGATACACACAGGAAACAGTCTGGGACCCAATACTGAACCTTGTGGGACACCACAGCTAATGTTCAACCACTTATGCAAACCTGCCTTTTCACAAAAGGCAGATCTTAATAAATAAATAATATAATACTCAGATTATTTGTCTAATATTAAATTATTTGTTAAATCAGGAAGGGGCAAATCATTTTTCACCGAGTGTGACTGAGCCCAGTATCGTTAGGTTCAGGGTGACTGTGCTTCTCTGCATGAACAGAGCTGAGGGCTGATCAGAGGAGCTGTATGAGCCCAAGTGTTCACTCGCATAGAAATCTGTAGCATCTGCACAGATCTTCCTGCTGTCGTCGGCACAAATAAAGGACGTAAGTGAGAGAAAAAAGGACTCTGTTCACAGAAAACCAGTTTGATTTTTAATAATTACACATATTTACAAAGATGCGATGAAGCTAAATGAAGCAGACCTGGCCAGCATTATGTAAAAGCAGAACTGTAGTTCAATAATCCTTCATGGGGTTTGAGCGGCCTTCATGTTCTGTAAGGTGGAGTCAAGAGCTTCCAGTTTATCCATTGGTCCCTTAAGGGGAAAAACAGCATCACTAATGTATCACCTGTGTGCAGGTAATAAAATACAGTCTGTGAGATGGAGTGTCGGGGTTGGAGGAGGAGGATGCTTCTTTAAATTAGAGGTGTGTATTTTCATTGTGACTGGAACTTCATTACGCCGTCTCCCTGCCTGTACAGGGCCTGCAGCTAATTGAGGCCCTGTGACTGATCAGCTAATTAATCCTATTATGAGGGTATTAAATTAGCGTGGGTCAAGTTTAATCACAAACAGCTAACTGAGAGCTTCTCCTCCCTCAGAAGAACATGTATGCAGATACACACAGCTTGCATCAGAAGCACTGAGTTGTGTTGGAGACATGAATGTGTGCTCACTGATGTCCCAGCATTAAAACATCAAAGCTTCAGTTAGGTACTGATATGTTGCTTGCTGTGTATAAAAGGAGGCAGTATACAGACTTAAAGTGTCCTGAAAACTTCATTATATAGTAAAGACAAACTCATGGCTTCGTACTGGTTTTATAGCTGTTGTGCACCAGCAGCTGCATGATGGAGGGCATGAATTATAATAGTGACCTAATCCTCCAACCCCTGACTAACACTCATCCAGAACATTCCAGCTGAGACTGGGAATGACCCACTTTTCTTTCTTTAGCGCCCCAGCAGTTGTCTCAGGGCACTTTTTTTACAGTATCTCTAGTACTGTAGGCATAGTCCTCAACAATCAGATGATCCTCTATAAACAGAGCTTGGCAACAGTAGGGAGGAAGAACGCCTGTTTAATGGGAACAGACCTCTGCCAGAACCAGGCTCAGGGAGGGCGGCCTTTGCTGAGACTGACTGGGCGTCGAGAGAAACTCCAAAGTAACACACCTGGAATTTAACCCAAAAAAGCTTTGTTCCCCCACACAGGGAAGACCCACTAATGTCTGTGAACACCACGGAAAAGCTCTCATGGCTTTTCTGCTGTTCTCCCATTTCATTTAGACTTGCAAACAGATTTCCAGCTGTCGTTGCAGCAGGTCACTGTAGACATGGAACCACACAGTGAGCACATAAAGGAAACGGTGACCAGTTTCCCCCAGCAGGTCACACAGATGGTCACGCAGCAGCACCTGGTGAGGAGGAACCCAAAGCTGCATTTACTGTGGAAGCTGAAGCCAACGTCTGACAGCAGGCATGGGCCAAGTCTGTCTGCTGCTCCTCACCTATGTGACGATAACGCGGACCTTCACTGGGAAATATTACAATTACACATGTGTAAGGAAAGAGGTCAGGTCTCCTCCCAGCTGCTTGTGTCAATTACACATTCACAGGAAATGTTGATTATTTGAACGATTCGTTAAAAATAAGAAGGTTTGTTTGTGTGTGGGGACTGAGGCAGCTTAGCGAGCTCCATACGCTGGACGAGAGTTCGGACATACCCTGGCAGAGTTTCAGCTGCGTTACCTGCTGCAGCCGTAACAGGTGAACAGATAGAGGTGCAGTCAGAGACACGGGAAATCATTTGATCTTTGAGGCACTTCTTAAATAAAAAGTTGTCACCCCCTTGTTTGTGAAAACAACAGAACACAAAGAAAAGTTTGTGGTTATGGAGGAACATGTGCCGCTTGCATCAATAAAAGGCATCATCAATTTTGGATTCACTAGCTACATCATAATACACAATAACAACATTTTCTCCTTTGTCATTGTACATTCTTGTGTGTGTGAGGCATGGCCCCCCTACCAAGATAGAAAAAAAAAAAAGAAGAATAAAAAAATTGCACATAAAATTATTTAAAGTTGTTCCGCAGAGCCGTCGTATTCATCCAGGGCGTGAGATGGGCTGAAACGTGTTGATGGTGGCAGGCACAGAATGAAACGCTCACACAGCCAGTCCTGCTCTGACACGAGGATGGACTGACAGGGACAACAGGACCAAACAAAGAAAAGGAGAAGACCGCATAAAGTCAGGGAATGTTCCTGTAGTCCGGCGTCCGGCTCCCCAGGGAAAAACTCTCCCTCCTCCCGTTTGCCTTGTGGACAGGTCCAGGGGGAACTTCCTCCTTGTTGTCGCCTTTCTGAGTTGAGTTGGCTTGCAAGTTTGTTTGTTTGTTTCTGTTTTTGAACAGCAGCTCGGAGGAGGACGCTGGTTTCTCCTTCATACAGACTCTTCTGTGGCTAGCAGCAGGGGGTTGATGTATTCAAATCCCTCAAACTCGGACTGGTCTATTCTCTTGATGACGTCCCTGAGGAGAGAAGGATGGAAAGAACAATTAGAGGACTTGTTTTACCACAGAGCTACTGAGAGTAAACCAGGTTTGCTCCTGGCGTCTCTCAGGTGAGCGTCACCACATCTTTTTCCAGGTTTGGAATCTAAAGGAAGTAAAATGATGTTTTTTGGAGGGGTGGGGGAATGTCCATGTTGAATTGCAGACCATTGTTTAGACCATTTTCAGGCTCTGTACCCACTGAGTTATGGTTCTGTTTTCATTTTCTTGGCAATCAGTACAGGTATCAGTAGAACGTACCTACTGATACAAATACCACTAAATTTGCTTTAAGAAAGATGATTGAAATGATAGAATGTAGCAAGGTGATTGACTCAGTAATTCAGAAAGTGTAGCTCTTCTGGGATTTTCCACACAATCATCTTTCTGGTTTTAGAGAATGGTTGAGGGGAAAAAAGAAAATATGAGTGAGCGGCGGTTCTCTCGGCACAAATTGTTGATGCCAGAGGTCAGAGCAGAATGCACAGACCACAGTGTATGCCCCCCTGTCAGCTAAGAACAGGAAACTGAGGCTACAGTTCACATAAGCTCACCAACACTGGACAATAGAAGATTAGAAAAACGCTGCCTAGTCTGCTGAGTCTCCATTTCTGCTACAATGGTCACAAAATGCTAATCAGCATAAAGCATGGATCCATTCTTCCTTGTAGCAGCACTTGGTGTAATGTGGTGTGGAAGACAGTTTTTTGGAACAGCTCAGATCAGCCTGAACTAGTTTAAACTGGCTTGAACCTTTCAAATGGATTCCACAATGACCAAATTTAAAATGTGTACCATGACGACTCTGTAGCATCTGTGTGATGCTATCATGTAAATATGGACCAACACATCTGAGCAATGCACAAAGAATTAGCAGAGTTGTGAGGATGAAGCGAGGTCCAAGCTGTTAATATCAAGGTTTACCTAATGAAGTGGCCTGAGCCACTTGTTGACCTTGATGCCTAAAGTTTGGCATTTGTCCATGTGCCAGCCTGTCCTATAAGGTGAAGGCTGCAGCAGGGTGGGGAGTGTGTGGACAGAAGAGTGCCCACACCAGCGTAACAGAGATCTGAAACATGCCCTGCTGTTCTTACTCTGATTGGGATAAACGTCGTGCTGCTGAAAATGCTGACGTATGACATCAGGTTTGCTTTTGGAGGATTCATTAGAAAGACTGCAGGTCTGTGGAGACACAGCAGGTTTTTAAGCTTGTTTTACTCTGAAACTTTTGCACATTTATTAGCTTCAACTGCAAACACTGTGGATCAGTGTGTGGATCAGTGTATGGATCGCTTTGATCCACAGAGCGATCCACAGTGTGTGGATCGCTCTGTGGATCAGTGTGTCCACGGCTCTTTCTGCACTCTCTCCTCTTCGTCTCCATCTGGTAACGCTTTCACGTTTTCCAAGTCAGCAAAAAGAACCATTTACATTGGTTGAACACACTGTTTGTTTTGGTCGTCTCCCAAACCTTCTCCACTCTCCTTTGTGTTTCCCCCTCTGTGGTCTTTCACTCTGCCTCCTTGTTCTCCCTGAAACTTGAAAACAAAAAAGCCCACTTTCTAAATCTAATGGCGTTATTGTTGCTTGACCTACTCCCACAGTGCGAGTCCTTCACATGAGATCAGATGGAGAGAAAATATTTGCTTCATCAATATTCCAGTCTGCACACTCAAAGACACTATAGCGTTTCATTCACTTGTCCTGGTGCTCTCTGTGGGTGGGATCTGCAAGCTATCTGACAAAGCGGTGGCCCTTAAAGTGAGACTCCCACCCACCTGGTGGAGCAGGGAGAGGACCAGTGAACGTGTCTATTGTTTTAACTTCAAAGCCCCCTGCTCCGTGTCTGCAGCGAGAAAACATCTTGGCCTTTCCCAGCAAGAGGCCTCCCCTCGGCAAGAGCTTAACCATGCCCCGCTCCCTTCCATTGGCCAACACAACCCCACACACACACACACACACACACACACACACACACACACACACACACACACACACACACACACACACACACACACACACACGAGTAAACAGCCTGTTGCTGCAGTAGGGAGAAGGCGGTAGTGTTGCTAAGGGACTGCATTTTTTTTACCCGGCTGCTCCTAATCCACAGTTTATAAAGTTCCACCTGAGATTATTCCTTCGTTAGTGGAAGAAACAAACACATAAAGCATTCAGCCAGCTCCTGATTCATCTGCACAGTGGTTTTTGTTTTTCTGACATCATCTCATGGATATCATCTTACAAGGATGGAAGATTCAAACAAACCAGCAGTGTGGAGGCTAACACAGCTCAAAAACACATCCTCTGTGGAAACGTGCAGCTGAGCCATCAGCTGATGTGGGCTGAGATCAGTGGACCAGTCTGAGCTAACGCTAACTGATGGCAATGTGCTCGTCCAGCCCAGCTGAAACAAGGGAGGTTAATAAAACATTACACATTAGGTTATTCTTCAATACTCTTCAATTCTTCAGTACTAACCTTACTAACCTCAGCTGTGAATTGCATTTTTGTGTGTTTCATTGCAGAACTGATCCAGAAATTCATATGAATGAATCGAGCCAGATTTACCATCATCACAGCACACAAACAGGTTTCACAGGAACTGAGGAGCCTCTGGGGTTCAGTTTGGCCAAAACTTGAACTCAAAGGTTTGATTAGTGCAGTGGTTCCCAAACTTTTTTTGCTAGGCCCCCCTTTGTTTTACAACAAAAATGTCCCCCCCGCACAAACACATCTTCCAACCACACACACCCATATTTTGCTCTATTGCGGTTTATTTCACACCTCAAACATTTAGTAAACAATTAAGCAAATACAAGTAATCTGCAATAAATTACAGGTAGTAATAAAATAAACTACGAACTCTTTTACGCTACGTCCACGCCTTAGCTGAGTAAGAATGTGTTGTGTTGACAGTGGTGACTTAGATAGCCACACTTCATTTTAGAAACAGCCAAATACAAACGTGTTGCTCAAGTTTATGTCTGCATCGTTTCCTCAAATTTGTCACATGTCCATCTCAGTCACAGTTGTAGCTGAACACTAAGCTAATGCACATACTTACAGGTGTACACTACCAGCTGTAATTCACACAGCTGTCTCCATTAGGGAAATGAAAGCTGCGGTGTGGCCTGGACATGTTTCCCCAACTATAAATGGAGCAGCTGAGCCATCGGTGATGTGGGCTGGCATTCAGATCAGTGGACCGCTCTGTAGTGCAGCTCTGCAAGTGCAGCTCTGTGGTGCAGCTCTGTAAGTGCAGCTCTGTAGTGCAGCTCTGTAAGTGCAGCTCTGTAAGTGCAGCTCTGTAGTGCAGCTCTGTAAGTGCAGCTCTGTAAGTGCAGCTCAGTGGACCACTGTAGTGCAGCTCTGTAAGTGCAGCTCTGTA